TAGTGTTACATTTAATTTTTGTTCGTTGTTGCTCGTATTCTTTTCTTTTTATTTATTTCTTTTTTTAATTTAATTAATTAATTTATTTTTGTTACAGATGTTTCTACTTTTTCTCCCACTGATTACCCTCTTCCCCCCCCCATCCCTGCCCTGTCCCCAGCTTTGTTGTCCATGTCCATTGTTCATGAATACATGCATATAAGTTCTGTGGTTTATCTCCCTCCACCACCTTCTCTTCTGGGGATTGTCAGTCTGTACCCCACTTCCACGTCTCTGGGACTACTCCATTCCTCACATTGCTGTGTTCATTATATTCCACAAATAAGTGAGATCATATGATACTTGTCTTTCTCTGTTTGGCTTGTTTCGCTTAGGATGATACTTTCTAGGTCCCTCCGTGTCATCTCAAAGGATAAGAGATCTTTCTTTCTTACCACTGCATAGTACTCCATTGTGTATATGTACCACTGCTTTTTTATCCATTCTTCTGCTGATGGACATTTGGGCTGTTTCCAGATCTTAACTATTGTAAATAGTGCTGCTACAAACAAGGGGGTACATATATTCTTTCTGATTGGTGTTTCAGGCTTCTTAGGGTATATTCCTAGAAGTGGGATCACTGGGTCAAATGGAAGTTCAATTTTTAATTTTTTGAGGTAACACCATATTGTTTTCCATAGTGGCTGCACCAGTCTGCATTCCCACCAGCATTGCACTAGAGTCCCCTTTTCTCCACACCCTCGCCAACACTTGTTTGATGATTTGTTGATGGCGGCTATTCTGACAGGTGTGAGGTGATACCTCATTGTTGTTTTAATTTGTATCCCTCTGATGATTAATGATGTTGAGCATTTCTTCATATGTCTCTCAGCCATTTGTATGTCCTGTTTAGAGAGGTGTGTATTTAGTTCCCTGCCCATTTTAAATTTGGGTTCTTTGTCTTCCTTTTGTTGAGTTTTATGAGACCTGACCTCTCACCCTGGATTGGGAGCTTTGTCCTCTACTTTCATGCAGGATCTGGGGTACACAGAGGGAGGCACCCCGTTTATGCCCACTGCAGCTCTTCAGAGTCTTACTGCAAGTCCTGGTTCTGGAGAAAATCCTCATCAGCTTGTTTCCCCAAGTCCCTGTTTATTTTCTTATTCATTCAGACTAGCCTGTTCCTCTTAGTATACTAAGTGTAGAGGGTTAGAATCATTTATTTCCTACTTGGGCATCAGAGAAAAATGTAGAGAAAATTCATCACATACATCCGTGTGCTCACATATGGGGAAGGGGCATTACATTATTATCAAGAAACAGAGGCAAAGAGAGGATTTCTGAGAAGAGTGTGCAGCCAAGAAAGAAATTCTCCAGCAGTGTGGACACAGTGCGTATCAGTACTTTTTAATTTGAGGTTGAACTGATCAGTGTCACCGTGGGAAGAGGCCTGTCTGAATCTTCGGCCTTGGGCTAGCCGTCAGGTCATCAGTGATGAAACAACTTCTGTTGACCAGTAATCATCAACACATCCTTGGAGCCCATCTGCAGTCTATCTCCATGACCATGCTTTTCTCTTACATACAAAATCCAAACTCAGCTAGAACTGTTTTCTTTTCTTTTTCTTTTTTTTATCTTCACCCGAGGACATTTTTCCATTTTGTGTTCAGATCGAGCGGGAGGGAGAGAGAGGAAGAGAGAGAGAGAGAAACATCGATGTGAAGGGACACATCGAGTGGCTGCCACCCGCACGACCAACCAGGGCCAGGGACAAACTGCAACCGAGGTACATGCCCTTAGCGGGAACCGAACCCGAGTCTCTCTGTACCGCAGGCCGATGCTCCAACCGCTGAGCCAAATCGGCCAGGGCAAACTTCCTCTCACTTTAACGTGAGTGTTTTTCTTCCTTCTTTAGACCTAACATCATTTTCTCCCACCCCCGTCTCTCCCTCTCCCTTCCAGAAGATAGTGTTAAGGAAGCTGATCTCCGCTGGTAGCTGCCAGGTGATGGGATAAGAGTGAAGTAGAATGCGGGTGAGATATTAAGCAGGTGAGTCAAAGGAATAGATTCAGGGTTAGAATTCATATTGGGGTTGGGGCGTAAGGACATTGAGCCCACAACAATCAGGACAGTGCTTCTGGAATATTCTCCCTGGTGACCATGCACACACTTCCCAGCATCCCTTGAGCCATAAAAGAAGGAAAAATGATGAAACTTCAATGATTGGCCACGAGATGGCACTGTGACGCTTTTGAGAGTCTGGGGAGAGTCTGAGAGGGCAGAGAAGGGTTAAGAAGTCAGAGGCATGGATCCAACATTAGGCAGCTGTTGAGGAAGTTTTCAGTCACCTGTGGAAGAGTTAGGAAGTCCCTCTAAACGTTAGAGACACCCACAGTTGAAGGATTTGGGCAAGGCAGCCTTGATGGCAGGGCAGGTGCCGACAGAGGCAACTGTCTCAAAAGAAAGTGGGAAACCAAGGGGTGGGGTGCTCCCCAGACCCACCCCACATCCACACCCCCCTCCCCTGCCGTCCATGCTGAACGACAGCTCTGAGAGCAGCTGGTGATTCAGCCTGAGCCAAATCAGAAGGGACCGGAACCAGGTTGACTAGCTGGTTCAGGCCAATGACCGACAGGGAAGACCTGTCTGTTCACGGGAGAAGGGCCTCTGAGCTCCCTCACAGTCTGTGGTCAGAAGCTCTGAGCTGGGACAACCCACCACGCCCTGACCGGCCATGTGCCCCAAACTCTTTTGTGTGATGCTCTGTCTCCTTGTGGCAGGTGAGGTCCGCATGGAGCTGGACACCTCTGCAGTGGTGTGTGAACACCCAGCCCCTAGCCTATCGCTCTTCTTTAAGTACCCAGGTCCCTGCGCAGGAGTTGTCCTTACCTACCTCTGACTCTCTATCTGGCCCCGTGGATGTGGCCGTCACCCAGATGCGAAGATACATATTATGCAAAGAGGGAAGAAGATGACACTGGAATGTTCCCAGACCTGAACCACATTGTAATGTACTGTTATCAACAAATCCGGGACAGGGTCTGAGGCTGATCCACTGTTCAAGTACTTGGGGCAACAAGGAGAAATGGATGTCACAGAAGGGCACAGTGTCTCCCAGACAAGACTGAGCATTTCCCTGACCCTGGAGTCGGCCAGCACCAACCAGCCCTCCCAGTACCTCTGTGCCAGCAGCTCAACCACAGCGTGACACAGTCACCCCTCCCTGCCCACAAACCCTCAGCTGTTCCCCTCTCCTCACAGTTCCCAGGGTCCCGAACAAGGGGGGCCCTCCTCTCCCCTCACCAAGAGGACCACGTGCTCTGGGACATCCATTGTTCTCCCAGCAGGGGGCAGTCAGTGAATAGCCTTCAGAATCCACCGCAGCCCATGTGGGGTGATGAGATCTTGCGTGTGTATTTCTGGGCTTCCTTACGCAGTTCAAGATTCTACCACTGAGACCGAGCACCGAAGCCTAGGCCCGATGTGGTGAAATCTTCTCTTGTAATATATGAGGCTTCTGCACAATGATAACAAACTCCTGGTGTGACTGTCACTGACCCAGACCACACAGAGCCCCGTGCGAGCAGCCAGTACAGGACTGTCAGGGCCACAGACAGCACCTGCCTTGGAACAGTGACTGAGGATCCTCCGTGAGAACTGTCCTTGGGATCAATCACCCGGGAGCCCCTGTTCATTACAAATAATGAACCACTGGGGGCTGTCCTTGAAGGGGTTTCACCAGGAATTGACAGTGTAGACACACAGTGTGTGTGTATGTATATGTGTGTTTATTTGTGTGTTGTGTGTATGTGTGCGTTGTGGATATGTATGTGTCTTTTGTGTACGAGTGTGCTGTGTGTGTGGTGTGTGTGTGTGTGTGTGTGTGTGTGTGTGTGTGACTCCTCCATTGAATTCCGGATTCTCTGGTCTTACCCCGAGACTTTGCTGTAGGGGTTAAAGAGCTGGAGCCTGGCTCAGGGGACAATGAGATCTCAGACTTGTGCCTTGCTGACCACTAGGAGGTGCTGTGGACAACCAAACTGCCTGAGGGCAGCTGAGGCAGAAGGAAGGACTGAAGGGGAAGCTGGTTCTCAAGGAGGGTGACTTGGCAACATCTGCCAACATTTTGGTTGTCATACTGGGGGTGGGCAGTGCTCCTGGCATGTAGTGGGCAAGGACCCGGGGGGCTGCTAAACATCCTGTTGGCACAGGGCAGCCTCCACAACAGAGCGTCATCCTGTGCAGTGTCTCTCGTGCCCAGGCTGAGAAACCTTGCTAGGCAGTGAGTTGTAACTGAACCAAAAGAGAAGGTGACCTGTAAACAATGCAAGGACAGTGGCACCATCCTGCATAAATTTTTGCAACGTCCATGCTGTGACACACACTACAACCTCCTTCTCCATCACACGAGACTTCTGATTCCCTAGCAGCACCCTATTCCACACGTGGCTCCAGCCCTCAGATAGAATAGAACATCGCAGGAGCCGGGTTCAGTGCATCCCCTCAAGGACTCATCCATGGGGTTTGCTCATAACCAGCTCCCATTCATGCAACTGAATATGCTCTGTAGCTGGGTCTCGGGGGACACCTCACAGTCAGTCTCCTGCTCACAACTAAAACAGTGTCTGAGCATGAATCTGGCTCCCAGGGGAGCCAAGACATGGGTGGGACCACCCTGCATTTTTGTGAGAGACCAGGGTGACTGTGAAAGGGGCCTGAGATGGGAAGGAAGGGAAGAGGTGGCCAGATGCTGGGGCAGGGACAGGGGAGGAGGGAGCTGCCAGCCCAAGGATGACGTCAGAGAAACAACCTGGACACAACCCGTCCACCACACTGAACCATCCCTGGATACACCTCATTCCTCTCAAAAGAGAAGTTGAAACATCTCTGGAAAAAGCAAGTGTGGGACAGGAGAAAGGGAGAGAACTCATTTGAGGAGAGCCTGGATGGGAAGTCGGTCTCGGCTGTGACATCACAGGAAGCACCTGCCGGGCTGTGGGGCGCTGCAGCCGGGCTTCTCACCCCGAGACCACAGCCAGTCCTGGCCTAGGCCTTGCCCGTCGGCCCGGATCCACCATGGGCTCCAGGCTGCTCTGCTGTGTGGCCCTCTGTGTCCTGGGAGCAGGTGAGTGAGGGGCCCAGGAGGCACAATCCCCTCTGAGCTCTCCATGCCCGATCCCACCTCCAGCAACAGGTTGGCTCCTGGGACTTGTCTGAATTCTGACTCTTTCTTTTCAGGTCCCTTGGACACAGCAGTTTTCCAGACTCCAAAATACCTCATCGTGCAGGTGGGGAATGAGGAATCCCTACGTTGTGAGCAAAAGCTGGGCCATAACGCTATGTACTGGTATAAGCAGGACTCCAAGAAGTTGCTGAAAATTATGTTTACCTACCGTCTTCAGAAGCTTATTCTAAATGAAACAGTTCCAAGTCGTTTCTTACCTGAAAATCCTAGCGAAGATCTTCTGAAACTTCAGGTCAACTCCATGGAGCCAGGTGACTCTGCCGTGTATTTCTGTGCCAGCAGCCTAGACACAGCCTTGCAAAGTCACGGCCTCCCTGTGCACAAACCCACCCCGCTGGCCCAGCCAGGAACCTGTGGAAACAACATGATCACTGGAGCTCTCTTCATCTCACTGGGAGACCCATATTGGGGTTTCATCTGCAGTACAGCCCAGGGTACCCAGTGGGGTAGTTCTACAGTCTATATGCTAGAAGTCTCACTGAATTCTACTCATCAGCTAGACTCCCAGGGGTGGGGAAGCTCTTTTCTGCCAAGAGCCATTTGGATATTTATAACATCATTCTCAGGCTGTACAACATTATCAACTTAAAAATTAGTCTGCTGGCCCTGGCCAGTTTGGCTCAGCGGTTGGAGCATCTGCCTGCGGTCCGGAGAGACCCGGGTTCGGTTCCCACGAAGGGCACGTACTTCGGTTTCAGTTTGTCCCCGGCCCTGGTTGGTCGTGCGGGTGGCAGCCACTCGATGTGTCCCTTCACGTCGTTTCTCACTCTCTCTCCCTTCCTCTCCCTCCCTCCCACTCTGTCTGTACAAAAAATGGAAAAATATTCTCGGGTGAGGATAAAAAAAAAAAAAAAAATTAGCCTGCTGTATTTGTGAGACTAATTTGGTGAGGTGTGTGTTCAGCTGGTACTGATCTCAAGGGCCTTAGTCGGTGGGAGGGATGTTCCCCACCCCAACAGCTGACATGTGGATTTCCAATAAATTCACCTAAGTATTCAGGACTCTGCAAGCAAGACAGGGCCCTGTTCCAGGCACTGAACATCTTACCTGATGGAAGAAGACATTTCTTTTCTTTCTCTGCTGTGCATATTATACATAACAATAGTATTAAAAACACACTATTTACTTAGAATGTTTGATGAGTGAAAACAAAATGGAGAGGTGAAGGTAAATGTTTCTAAGATTAATAGGAAATTTAGATGATCAGTGAGTTCCCTGGTTAATGGATAAATATTTAAAGAAGTATGAAAGTCCATGACAACAGATAAATTAGAAAGAAAGGGTGAGGGAGAAGAGACAATAGAGGTGGCCTTGTGCATTGCAGACTCTCTCTCTCTTTCAGAAGGATGACCAGTGTGATTCTTCCCAATTCTGACTGTCACCTAGCGCCTCCTCTAGAGAAGGCAGTGAACAGATGATGGAGGATATCATGAGAAATGGAAAGACAGGACTTTGGACACAAATCTCTAGGCAGTAGCTAAACCAGTCTGTGATCCTACCTTGAGTGAGAGAACATGATCAAATTTGTATTTTGGTACAATAACAGCCGTAGCAGAATGGATCAAAAGCTTCTGAGTGGAGTGAGCATTTAGGAAACTACTAAAATATTCTACGTGAAAGATTTTAAAAGGATTCATATAGGGAATTGGTGATGATATAGAATAGAGACTCTGGATTATGTTATGTTCTTGTAAAGAGTGTTAGGATTGATTGTGGCAGGTTTGCTGGTAGGATTTGCTAGGATTTCTTTCACTTTGTCCCTTTTTCTTAGGGAGCCCTAGCATGTGTCCTTATTACTAGTGCATGGCCTCTTTGGGGTCCCAGTTGTAATCATAGCATATTCAACAACGTGATTATCTTCTGAAATCTCAATTCTCTAGCTTTCTACCACTTATTCTCTGCTCAGACTTCTAGAGCCCATCCGGTAAATACATATTAGAAATTGGCCAAGAAAAAGGGATTAGCTTACATATATTCTTGGGGCGCCTGTTCAGTACTCTATACACCAAATCCCAGATGTCTTGGAATCAGTTATATCTTCCTGTTTATCTTCAAGCAACACCTGCCATGTCTATTTTATAGAGATAGTGCTTGAGTGAATATACTTGCACCTTTACCATTCACTTTTTCACTATTGTTCTTGCAGTTCAGACCATCCTGAGGTTATTTCCCTTCAGGCACATCCGTACTTCAGATAACTCACCTTTCACCGACCTGCTCCTTTGGGATATACTTACTTTGGCTATTGACTTAGGGCAACAAAGCCTCTCTCTTTCACTCATGATTCGAGGTCAGTTTAAACTATGTTGTGTTTGTTTATTTTTGTAATCTTTGGAGTTTTTCTTAGTTATTGGGAGCCAAACAATGCAATGAAATTTTTTTTATTCAGACTTTTGGTGTTTCATATAGAAGGACCAGTCAGAGTGTCTTCTTCTTATAGTGGGTATCTATCATAATCTCACATGTACAGTCTCACATGTACAAAGTGATTTAATCACTGGAAGACCAAATACTTTTCTCAAACGTCTTATGGTGCATTTTCTTCCCTGGACGTCAGCTATGAAGGTGTTTGAGGACCTCAGGACAGACGAGGTCTGTGGTGAACAGGGTGGTCACTACTTGCTAATGGCAGTGACTGAACCAATCCAGTGGGCCCTTAGGCTCCCCACGGGCTGTGATAGTATCTGGGTTTCATTCATTACCAAGAACCCGGACGTAGCCATGTCTGCTGAGCAACCAGGACTGTCCAACGTATGTGGATGAGCAGCACTGTTGTCCATGATGTTTGTTATTCTGGATGCTTCTTCCCTCCTTAGCTTCCCCAGGATTTCTTACCCCTGGCAGCTCCTCCCAGCCTGTGGCAGGAGGGTAGGTGTGGATTGCTGGTGCTGGGCTGGTCAGAGCCTGAGAGCTGAGGAAGGTGCTGCTTTGGCCACAAGGAGGAGCTGGGGCTCTGTTGAGACCTCTTGCTGGTGGATGGGAGGGGGTTGTCAGTGAGTGGAGGGGTGAGGAGAGGAGGGAAGCCAAGGCCTGGGCCCCTTCTTCTGTCAGTCAGAAGCTCAGTTACAGGAGCTCACAGGTAGGACAGGGGAACCATTGCCCTGCATCACTGCCCTGTGTCCTCCTTCAGCACCTGTTTGCTCTGCGCCAGGCCAAGCCCGGATCCTCAATGCAGGGCCAGAGGCTTCTTGTCCCTTGTGGGGATCCCTCAGCACCCTTCCCAGGGCCTGGCTGTGGGCTGCCAGCACAGTCGTGCACTTTAAACGATGGGCACTACTCTGTCCTATGTTCCCCCCTCCATGCTGGGCAAAGGGGCTCCAACGGGCTTCGACGCCCAGGGGAACAGCGTGTTGAGTGACGTCCTGCCTGACTGAGCAGGGAAGGACTAGGTCCCTGGAAGGGGAAATGCTCTGTGGCTGAGAGGGAATCGGAAAAGGACGAGGACCGACAGAGAGTCTGTATGATGACGGAGGCAGCAAAGAGCTCAAGGGCAACTGTCAGAGGAATAACACACCCCTGTCCATTGACATCTGCCTTCTGTCAGAACCTATCTGAGGCATAACAGGGAGGAAGGACCATCCCTGGGGGATGGGGAAACTGTCAGGGACAGTGACATCACAAGCAGATCGACCAACCAAGGCCCAGGAGACCAGAGCACGGCCCCCTGCCAGGACAGCCTAGTCACAAGGCCACTGGGCCCTGAGGCCACCATCGGAGGCTGGCTGCTCTGCTGTGTGGCCCTCTGTCTGCTGGGAGCAGGTGAGTCCTGGGCTCAGATGGGCTGTGCTCCACGCTGTTGCCCCGTGGCTGCAGCGTCACCCTGCTCTCTGGGCTTCGTCTGAATGTTGTCCCTTTTCCCAACAGTCCGCATGGACACTGGCGTTACTCAGACACCAAGGCACCTAGTCATGGGGAGGACAAGTAGGAAGTCTGTGAAATGCGAGCAACACCTGGGACATAATGCTATGTATTGGTATAAACAGCGCGCTCAGAAGCCTCCAGAGCTCATGTTTGTCTTCCAGTTAAAGAAACTCGTTGAAAATATGACTGTGCCAAGTCGCTTCTCACCCAATTGCTCAGACAGCTCTCAGTTATACCTGCACCTGGATGGCCTGGAGCCAGAGGACTCGGGCGTGTACCTCTGTGCCAGCAGCAAGGACACAGCCTTGCAGAGTCACCTTCTCCCTGTGCAGAAACCTCCTGGGTCCAGCCCGGAAGCTGTGGGGCGACCACGATGCGGCTCAGCATTTCCCGTGAGACTCTCAACAGAAATCTCAGAGCAGGATGCTCCCTGTCAATGTACTGAACATGGCAACGCTCAGTGTCCTGCACACAAACCTCCTGGGGCCTTGCCTGTCCTTGTCCTGAACAAGACTGTACCTGGACAGAAATGTTGAAGCTCAGGTTCTTCTAGTAACTTCTTACCAGCCCTTGCCCTGGGGGATCTTTCATGAGACACATTATACTCTGGCCACTGCAGCCCCACCAAGCCTCTGTGGAATAGGGACCTTTCCCTGACTCCTCTTTCTATGCAAGTTACACCCTGGATCGCAGCCCTGATCCCAGCTCCAAATATGCTCAGACCTTTTCCAGACCAACTCATTCCCTCACATGTGCTTTTGTCAGTTCCCTCCACTGAGGACAGGAGATCTCTATCCAGTGTGCTTACATTTTCCTTTGGCGTCTTGATCCATAAGAGCTGGGAGTCACAGATCCACGATTCTGTATCGAGGATGTGGCTCTGAATGGGCGGGCAAAGAAGACGCTGTTCCCGCCTGTGTGATCAGGGCTCACGCCCGGCCTAGCTGTCCTGAAGCCCACGTGCCCCAAGGAGCCTCTGCAGCTACAGCGTGTCACTCAGGGCCTGTGGGCCACACACTCAGGACACGGGGTGAGCCACGGGCAATGTGTGTCTACGCAGGCACGAAGGTTGACTGTCCCCCCTTCCCTAAGAACTCCAAAGCACAGAGCCGAGGACACCCCCACTCACTGACCATCCATGATCACCTGGGTTCTCTGTACAGTGGCCTTGGGGGATGCTGCCCTCAAAAACACAAGGACACTTTTGTTATGTCCTTCTCAGTCCCGGATCCTTCGTATTTCCTTCGTCTGGACCATTTGTTGCTGCCTCATCTTTCTCTTGGCTTCCATTCCCTTCTTGAACAGAACCCAGGGATGCACCAGTCAGACGGATGCCACTGGTCTTTGAATACCCTTAGAAAATGAGCCATGTGGCATAGTACTGGTATGGACACAACCCAGGACTAGGACTAACACAATCCAATGTCCAGTGCTCAATTTATAGTCCAAGAAGATTTATTTGTAGGGTACCTATCTCGAAAAAGACAAGGTTACCACTAAAAATGCCAGCTAATAGATTCTAAGCAAGCTAGACCTGACTTCTCACCCTGGACCGGAAGCTTTGCCCTTTACTTTTATGCCCGATCAGCGGTACACAGAGAGAAGCACCCCATCCATGCCCATTGCAGCTCCTCGGAGTCTTACTGCAAGTCCTGGTTCTGGAGAAAATCCTCATCAGCTTGTTTTCCCAAGTCCTTGTCTATTTTCTGATTCATAAGACTGGCCTATCCCTCCTAGCATTCTAAGCACTGTAGAGGGTTAGAATCATTTATTTCTTACTTGGGCATCAGAGAAAAATGTAGAGGAAATTCATCACATACATCCGTGTGCTTACATATGGGGAAGGGGCATTACATTACTATCAAGGAACAGAGGCAAAGAGAGGATTTCTGAGAAGAGTGTGTAGCCGAGAAAGAAATTCTCCAGCAGTGTGGACACAGTGCGTATCAGTATTTTTCAATTTGAGGGTGAACTGTGGGAAGAGGCCTGTCTGAATCATCGGCCTTGGGCTGACTGTGGGGTCATCAATGATGAAACAACTTCTGTTGACTAGTAATCATCAATACATCCTTTAGCCAGTCTGCAGTCTATCTCCATGACCATGCTTTTCTCTTTCACACAAAATCCAAACTCAGCTACAACTGTTTCCTTATTTTACCTTTATTTGAAAAGAGAAACACAGTGCAGAAAGCAAATAGTAAATTCATTCCTAATTAAACCTACTTCCCCAGAACAGCCTTTTCACAGGTCACCAGCTCAGTGAGCTCCAGGGCACTGCTCTGGGCAGTCTCAGGATGAGTCCTCCTCTGTGCCCAGCGGCTCAGGGGAAGGGGTGCTTTGGGGTTGGGGTGCAGGGCTAGGTACTCAGTGTCCGGCAGGGGCGGGCAGGGGAGTGAGGTGTGCCCTGGGCGTGGGGGACAGTGCTGGCCAGCAGCCACCCCTCACAGAGAGGCTGTGCAAGAGGGCATGGGGACTAGAGCGGCTGACCTGGGGCCTGCCCAGGGGTACAGTGGACCAAGAGGCGGCCTCCATGGAGAGTCTCCTCAGAGCAGTGCGGAAATCAGAGCAGTGACGTCATAGGCAAACAGTCCTATCAGGGAACTGGGAGGTGCACATTTTTAGAGAGCTAACCTTAGGGGACCCCACCCTGAACTAGGAGTTGTCTTGGGGTGCGGCCATGGGCCCCAGGCTCCTCTGCTGTGTGGCCCTGTGTCTTCTGGGAGCAGGTGAGCCCTGGACACTGTGTGTGAGCCTCTGATACCCGTTTCCCATCCCTGAAGAACAAGCCCCTGGTGAGGGCAGCAGGGGAGGCTCCCTGTGCTCCCCCCTCAGCTTTTCTCTGCCTCCTCCCACCAGGCCCAGTGGATTCTGGAGTCACCCAGACCCCAAAACACGTGATCAAAGGAAGAAATCAGCAAGTGACAATCAGATGTTCCTTTATCTCTGGACACCTGTCCGTGTACTGGTACCAACAGGCCCAGGGCCAGGAACCCCAGTTCCTCGTGGAGTACTATAACAAGAAAGAGAGAGAGAAAGGAAACCTCCCCGATCGATTCGAAGTGAAACCGGTCGGTGACTCTGGCTCTGAGCTGATCATGAGCTCGCTGGAGCTGGCGGACTCAGCCCTGTACCTCTGCGCCAGCAGCCAGGACACAGCCCTGCAGGCTCAGCAGCCTGCTGTACAAAAACAGCCCTGCCCCACTCAGGAAGTGACCGCCAGGGGGCAGCCGCCAGCCAGCCGGGCTCTGCCCCCGCACAGCTGCCTGCCTTCCCCAGGCCCTGTCTCTGCTGCTTACAGAGGTGCTAGGTTTTAATGCTCATGGACATCACGCGACTTGAGTAGTATTTTACCTGTTTGTATATCTGTTGGGAAGTAACTATCCCAGGTCTCATATATATACGTTGATTTCATCCAACAAACACCCTCACGGGAACTCCCAGAACAATGTTTAAGCAAATATCTGTGCACCATGAGCTCTAGTTTAGCTGGCACATTAAATCCACCACCACTCCGTCCTCCTGGGCTGCATGGAGATGTAATACGGTTAAAACAGGACGTAACAGGAATGCAGATATCTTGATTCCCTTTGTTAATTTTCTTCTACCATTTCCTGTGTGTGAAGGTAGATACGGACACACTCTCCCTAGAAACCCTGTAGTTCAGGGCTGTAGAAGTCAGAGATAAAGGTATTTATGCCTGATTATTCATTACATGCAATTAAACAGGGCATGTGACATGCACCCCTCCTTAGACATGATTACATACATATTACTGACATATGAATTACATACAATAAACACTGCAGAACTACGTGAACAGAGCAGTGACGTTTGAACAATAGATATTATAATATAAATGCTTATATCTCCTGTCCCATGAAGCTGCAGAACCTTCTCATCACCCAGAAAGTTCCCTCATGCCCCTTTGCACTGCATCCATCATCAGGGACAGTCTGTGATTTCCATCTCTAGAGGAGAGTTTTGCTGGGCCATATATTTAATAGAAATATATAATTCCTGCCAACTGGAACAAATGCTCATTAGTACACAGCCACATACATAAGCGAGAGAGGGGCTCCTGGGAGCTCTATGGATGAAGAGGCGCCGGGACTCAGGCAAGACACCTGCTGCGTGTCAGCTACATTCTGTCTGGAGTTGGATGGTTAAGTAGAAGGACCCTCGAAAGGTCTACCAGCCCTGGCCGGTGGCTCAGTTGGTTGGAATGCGTCTCGGACACCAAAAAGCTTGTGGGTTCCATTCTTGATCAGGTGCACACCTGGGTGGCAGGCTTCATTCCTGGTTGGGGCACATATGGGGGCAGCCCATCCATGTGTCTCTCACACATCAATGTTTCTCTCTCCCTTCTTCTCTCTAAAATAAACAACTTGAAAAGCCATATTGTGGTGATGATTTAATAACAAACAAACCAAAAAACTGTCTCCCCAGGTAGTAAAGTTGTTTTTATAAAATATATTTACTTTTTTTCACTCATTTCTTTTCTCATGCACCCCTTCGTTGAAATTACTTTTCAATTATGTGTTTTTTTATTTTATTTTTAATTTTATTTTTGTTACAGTTGTTTCTCATTTTTTACCCCATTGACACCCTCCTCGTCATCCGCCACACCCTGTTCCCGGCTTTGTTGTCCATGTCCATTGGTTATGCGTACATGCATATAAGTTCTGTGGTTTATCTCTTTCCTCTCCCTACCACCTGCTCTCCTGAGGGTTGTCGGTCTGTACCCTACTTCCATGTTTCTGGGTCTACCCTATTCCGCAGACTGTTATGTTCATTATATTCCACAAATAAGTGAGATCATGTGGTATTTGTCTTGTTCTTCTTGGCTTTTTTCACTTAGGATAATACTTTCCAGGTCCCTCCATGTCGTCTCAAAGGATAAGAGATCTTTCTTTCTTACAGTACTCTATTGTATATATGTACCACTGCTTTTTAAAGTATTCTTCTACTGATGGACCTTTCCACTGTTTCCAGATCTTAGCTATTGTAAATAGTTCTGCTATAAACATGGGGGTACATATATTTTTTCTGATTGGTGTTTCGGGCTTCTTAGGGTATATTCCTAGAAGTGGGATCACTGGGTCAAATGGAAGTTCAATTTTTAATTCTTTGAGGTAACACCATATTGTTTTCCATAGTGGCGGCACCAGTCTGCATTCCCACCAGCAGTGTACTAGAGTCCCCTTTTCTCCACACCCTCGCCAACACTTGTTGTTTGATGATTTGTTGATGGCGGCCATTCTGACAGTTGTGAGGTGATATTAATAATATTTTAACAACAATTTATCATCTCCAAGAAAATAATTTCAAGTCCCCATCAGATACACACACACCTGGCTTCCTGTTCCCATGGTGACTGCCAGGGCTCAGAGGTCCTCGGGGAACAGTGATTCAGTGAGAAGTCATCTCACATTGAAGAGAGGGTTCCCTTCCCCTTGATCGTGTCAAACACAAAAACCAGGACCGTTGAGCTGGAACATCCCCTTGTGTTCTTGCCTTTTGCCTGGGCGCCAGCGTCCTGGGCTCTGTGTCCTTCTGTGTCCAGGACCAGACAAGCCCTGGCACCAACATGGAGCCACTCGGGGGCTGGCCAGGCCCCAGTACAAGGCTTATCTCCTTGGATCCAACTTGAGACTCCTTCTCCAGTTCCGCCCTCAGAGCCCACGTCCTCCTCTCCCAGGCCCAAGATGCCGAGTCACCTGCCCCACACATGTGGTTGTGCTAAAGGGAAACCAGCACCTGGGGAGGTGACCACTGATTTGAAACTCAATGTCATGTCCCTGAGACCGGCTGGAGTCTGTGGTTCACACAGTAAGAAGTTGGAGATCATCACAGCAGGGCATTGGAGACGGTAGGGGCTTCTACTCAGCGTGGCACTGTGTGCAGATTAGCACCAGGCTTTATAAGAGCCGTTACCTTTATTACTTCATTAATGTCAGCGATTCTTCACGCAGCCACAGAGAAAGGTCAGTCACAAGCCAGAGCTGCATCAGCTTGCTGTCGCCTCACGCCAAACACAGAGGAAAGTGTTCTGGGGAGCACGCAGGGTCCTGGCTGCATTTGACAGGTGTGTGTCAATGGATTCAAGAAAACAAATCAAAATGATTTGTCCAGGGTTGACGTCCCTACCCCTACAGCTTGGCAGCCAGGGACCAGGAGCGGCATGGTGGGTGGAAGGACAGGATGGGATGGTGGTTGGTGAAGTAGAGGCGAGAAGGAGGCTTGAAGAACTACGGGGGACTCGTGTATCATAAAAGGCATCAGAAAGCCATCGGGATGTCCCTAAGATTCAAAAGTATGGAAAAAGGTGGATACACACAACCAGGGTGTCAGGAGGATGTCTATCACAGGACTCAATAGACCTAAAGTTCCACAGTTTGTAAGACGTGAAGAATGACATGTAAGACCTCTGCCAGTTCAGCCCAAATCTTTCTTCTCCATCTAAGCTGTTCACTTGTCCATTTACTGTTGATGTGATGCTCTGGGGGAAGGGGCGTGACCCTCGGGACAAGGTGACTCTGTGCTCCAGGCAGTGAGGTGCCATCTCAAAATGACTCCCTGTCATCCTCACACAGACCCAGACTGACCCCCGTGTGTCCCGCCCCTGCGATGACTGTCCACCACCTGTGCTGTGTGGCCTTCTGTCTCCTGCAGGCAGGTGAATCCTGGCTGGGTCCCTTCCATGGGTGAGAATGTCTAGATCTCAGCTCTAAGTCTGTCCACGGTGTCTGCAGCAGAGGGTTTCATTCTCCTCTGCACAGGACTGGTGAATGCGGGCATCACGCAGCCCCAACATTCCAGGTCCTGAAAACAGGACAGAGATTGACATTGAGATGTGCCCAGGATACAAACCCTGACACGTACTGGTACCGACAAGACCCGGGCGGGGGCTGAGGCTGATCTAGTATTCAGTCGGTGAAGGGATCACTGAAAAGGCAGAGGTCTCTCATGGGTGCACTGGCTCTAGACCAAATAGAAAGAACTTCCCCCTCACACTGGAGTCTGCGGCCCATCCCAGACATCTGGTCCCTCTGGGCCAGGAGTGAACCACAGCGCTGCACGGCCCCCGCCTCTCTGCACATAAAGGCAGGGGGAGGCCCTGCACCCTGCACTCAGGGGGCCCTATGCCAACTCCTGCATCTGGAGCCCGCATTGACCCAAGCCTTATGTCCACCTTCAGGACAGAGTCTGCCAGGCCTTGAACAGACCCCGGCTCTCGGACACTCATCTCTCCACTGTTGATGTGTGTCTGTCTGTCTTCTGAAGCTTCCTGTGATCAGGGAAGGTCCATCCCCAGCTCTTGTTTTCCCATCATCAGCCTAAGTAGATGCCTCAGGGTAGAAAGTCCTCGGTAAATAGGATCCATCTAGACCCCTGTGTACTACACACTGTTGTCTTCCAGGTCAGTGAGTGGAGTGAAGCTATTAGAAACCCAGGGCTTGGTGCATGGTGACCTCGAGAGGCACGAGGCTTCACGTCGGGATTTGGAGACACAAGTACCAGGAGGCTCGTGCACAGGAGTCGGCACTGATCGTGACCTGCAGGAGCAATGGCAGCTTCCGACGCAGAGACTCTCCCAGGGCGTCATTTCCTCTCTTCCTCTCTGAAGGTCAGCGCATCCCAGGGAGAGCCCAGTGCACCGAGGCTCCCCTCCCCTGGAAATAGAAGCGCTGGAGCACCTGTGACAGAGAAGGGAGGGGATGGGACATACACCAGGTGCTCCCGGAAGTTCTCCTAGGGGTCCTGGCTGGCAGGTACGACAATGAATTCCCCTCTTGACATCTTGTATCCATGGTCTGTTGACATGTCCTAGTGAAATCGCACAGCGGACAGGGGTGATGGTGAATGAGAAGAAGGATTCAGAGATGCAGAGACCTCCGCATCCAGACAACACGGGATCCGCAGTGGCAGCCTCGCATTGATGTGTTCACAACGGAGCTTACAAATATAAACATTAGTCATCCGATGTGCTGCAAGACACAAGCCTCACAGAGGTCTAGGGCACTGACAGAGGCAGTGATGTCACTACGGAGACGGCCTTGTGGAGACTAGGTTTGTCCCTCCAAATCTGCTCATGCTCACAAGGGCCCTGACCTGGTGGGACCCCATTCCTGTCCTGACCCAAACATGTGCACCCGGCTCCTCTGCTGGGCGACCCTCTGTCTCCTGGGGGCAGGTGAGTTCTCCAAATCCAAGCAGGTAGAGAGTCAGATGTGTGTGTGTGGAAATTACTATTGTTTTCCTCATTCTGTTCTCAACGTCTCTGTCCACAGGGCCCACAGATGCTGGAGTGTCC